TCCCTTCAAAATAATTTTTACCAAATCCTCCAACAAAAATAACTTTTGTCCCCCAATTGGGCATGCAACAATATTCCTAAATTTTTGAATTAGTCATGAAAGAAATGTTCATTGAAATTAGGCTCAAAGTGATTAACTAAGAATAATCTTTCAAGGTTTGGGGAATGAAATTTCAAAAAGAAGGCCTTTTACCCATGGATCTTCTACCATAGGCATCAAAATGATAACAATCACCTAAATAAAGTTAGCAAAACTTCCCTTTTCTTTTTTGTTTCGTATAATTTGTGGCAATTCTTAAGATGAATCCTTGGCAAAGTTTTTCATCCAAATGGTTTCAAATGGTAAGAAGAAAATTCTCAAGCCTTCTATCATCGGAATATTTGTTTCAAATTTTGAGATAAATATTTCTTTGTACTTTGCTCTCGTTCCTACTCATCCATTATTTCTCTCCTAATCACCTCCCTCATTTCTCAACTTCTACTCCTTTTTTTTAAGCCTCAATTTTCTCTATGGGAGTTCAAAATTATATTCAAGTTCATTAACAATGCAACTCATGGAATTATAAAATCAAGAACTAAATAACTATATATGAATTAAAACATGAAGAACTTAGAAAACGAAGATTCAAATTGCAATATGAAAGTAGTTTGGAAAATGTGAATAAAAACCAACATGAAAGACACATTTTATTCCAAAATGATAGCAATAGGGAAAAAAACACTCCATTGTTCACTTATTTAAGCCTTCATCAGTAGCAATTCTAAAATCAACCTTGTTTGAGTGAAATTGTAAGCATTTCAAATCCTTCAAATCTTGAATCTTATGTTTCAGAGTTAGACACCTTTCTATATTATGACCAATGGTCCCTTTATGATAATCACATCTAGCTTATGGATCATACCAGAATGGCAAAGGATTAGGAAGCTCGTTTGCAACGATTGGAGTCAATTCCCCAGTTGCTACCATTTGATTAAATACATATGAATATGATAATGGTAGGGGATCAAATTGTCAATGCATTCTTCCCTGATTTCAAACTGCTTCTCCAAGTCGAGATGCAATAGAATTCACCATTTGTACATTATTCTTTTTTTTGTTCTTTCCACTCTTGTTAACCCTTTTTTTGTGAATCAAATTATCCAATTCTAACAATTTACCATTCTGATGTTGCTCAAGAATATCCTTTATAGCTTGGTAATTTAGGATGACACTAGATTTGATTCCATCCTCAACTTGCTCTCCTATAATGACCAACTGAGCAAAACTTAAGTTGACACAAGTCATAAGTTTTTCATGATATGGGCTTTTAGTAGATTTGATGAACAAATTGCTCAATTCATAATCAGTTAATGGTGATTGAACATGGGCAGCCAACCCACACCACCTCTGAGCAAACTCTTTAAAGCTTTCACTTGCTTTCTTCTCTGTCTTTTGAAGATCCTCTTTACTAGGGGCTAATGATGTGCTATAGTCATATTGTTTCATAAATTTCTAGCTCAAATGCCAACTCTTAACCTTACTCTTGCTTAAAGTTGAGAACCAAGCATTTATAGGACATGTTAGACTATCCTAAAAGTAATGTATCATTAAATTCTCATCATTACCATAAGGAGCCATCTTCCTACAATACATTGTCAAACGAGCATAATGACAACCAGTGCCATTGTACTTATCAAATTCGGGCAACTTGAACTTATGTGGTAGTTGAATGTTTGAGAAAGAGAACAAAGATGAGATATCCATTGGTTTACTAATTTGAACACTTTGCGTCGATTTTAGTGTTTCCTCCTTTAGCTGCACCTTTGCTTTTATTGCCTTGTCTTCATCCTTTATGATTGATTTAACAACTTAAGTCCCCACTTGATCATTTTCATTAGTCCAAGCCGTAGCAACACTAGCATTTAGAAAAGTTGGGACTGGTGGTTTTGTCCCATAAGCTCCAACAATCATATTTGGAGGGCTAGATTACATTGTCTCCTTTCCAAGAGTTAAAGTAAATGCAGCAATAGGGACATTGCCACATAAGCATTTCTTTTAAACAAACTGTATAATTGTTGAATTGAGACAACTTCATCTATGGTTCTAGTAACTAGTATAGCAGCTTTTAAATTACTTTAGCTTTAATTCAATTTGCTGAGCAATTTGTCATAAATTGTTGATCTTTGATTTTGGTTAGGCTATTGACATAGTTTAGGGGAAGAGATTCTCAAAATTTACATGCTAGAAGTCCCATCTAATTGAAGATAACTCGATTTCAAATCTCAAAATTCAAATCGTTAAGTTTAAAATTAGGGAAGTTTCTTTTTTCCTTTATTTATATTTTGGATGCTGATTGGCTTACAACTGGTTTGTTACCTTCCTTCACACAATAAAAAAAAAATTCCATGATTTGAAATTAGGAAAATGAATAACTTAAACTCACTACATTCATGCTAAATTTGTTTATTTCTTTTTCCAATGACACTACAAGTTATGATAAACTGTGGGCTAGCTCTAGAAATTTGGCCAAGCTCTGACTTGAAATTATAGAACTTAAAAAAGGTAAAAAATCAACACGAAAAATCAGCACAATACAGAAAAATACCAGTACCATCCAATTTCATGTTTTCAGTCAAACGAAAGAGGTTTACTAGTTTCTGGTGAAATATCTACACAGTCTAGTGGACTACCCAGAATCCACCATGATTCCAACAACTTACAAGAAATCATAAAAAATGCAAAATAAAGTAAAAAATTTGCTGAGGCTACCCAGATTCAATTTCTAGTCAAGATGAAGGAAATCCAAGGTTGAGTTGGTCCTCCTCCATTTTTAATCACAATTTCAACTAACAAACCACAAAATTCACAACAAACAATTATGGAGCAATTGAAAATCATAAAATGAAAACTGCATTCAACACCAACAAACCACAAATCTAAGATTAAATTGACAATTCATTTCAATATTTGTACTGCAATTATATAATATTGGTTAGAAAGAATAGAGGAAGGGAAATTGTTACCTAAAGCATAGGACTTCCCCCTTCTATCCTTGAGCTCCTTCCTTTTCTTCTTCCATTTCTAGCACCCAAAACAGAGGAGAAAGCACTAAAGAGATACAAGAAAGAAAACCACCCAAAACCATCCTAGATCTAGACACCTTGAATTCAAAGAAATTCTTTCTTCCATTTTGTTTAGCCTTCTGTGCTTTCCTTCAAAACCTAAATTTAGAACCTTTTTTTGCCATTTTGTTTTGCTACCAACTCACCCCCTTAAAATCCAGATATGAAAATCCCCAAACTTGAGCCTCTTTCTCCCCATATCTTAATTAAATGTAGAAGGGATTTCAACAAGATTATTTTGGGCAAGCAAGGGATAAGCTAACTTGCAAGAGAAAAATACATTTCAATAGGTTGATCAGTAGCGTGTGATTGGGTTTGTGTGATTGTAGTGTGGATGTATCACTTTCCTTATATTTTACAATCTACATCAATTGAAGTCACTACCTGAGTATTTTCTAAACTGTACTCAACTTTTTCTAAAACTTATTTTTACAAGTGAATTTACAAAGAAAGGCTCGGCAAAGTGCGAGAATAATTTTTCATGCTCAGATTAATTTTGACTATATGAATATTTCGTGAGCCCCACTTGTACTACTCATTATCTTGGCCAGATTTGGCCATGTTCTATCCATACTAGAGCATCATCATTGTTAGCAACATCAGATCTTTTGGCTAGAGTTTCGCTTTAGCCATGCTCGATTCTATCCATATCAAAGCTTTGCTAGTAACATCAAACCCTTTGGCTGGAATTTTGCTATGGCTTCGCTCGATTATATTGATGTTAGAGCTCTACTAGTAGCATCGTATTTCTTAACTAGTACTTTAGTCTTATTCATCGATGTTAGCCGAGTCATACTAAATTTATCTACACCTGTTACTATTTATTTTGCATGGCTAGAGTTAGCCCAATCTCACCTCTATCGAAGTCACTTCAACATCAACAGATTACTTGGATGGAGCCAAATTTTATCAATACTGAGTCTTTCAAACTACATCTATTTCGAGAGAAGGATTCATGTTGATCATCAAACTTCTACACTATTCTAGCATGCTCATGATCATACTCAGATTGTCTCAACAATTTGTCTCCCTCAACACTAAACGACCAAGCTTGTTGTCACAACTTCGCCCGTTTAAGGGGCTAATGTTGAGGGATGAACTTGTATTACTTTGAAATTGACAACATGTGCAGTGCCGCATCAATAAGGGCCCACATGATATATTTTTCACATTAGACATGCTATTTATATTTTCTGCTAATTACTACAATAAAGTTGACATCACCAGAAGTGGCGTTCATCTACTTTGCTGGAAATTTTGTAGACATAATCCACTCTAGCATCTATTTTTATGTACATGGCCAAACATGGTTAGATCTATCTCTATGACATGGTTGAGCGTTTTTGACGATCATGTCCCGTATAGTGATATTCACTACTACATCTTTTAGCTCTCAACAATGAATAAAGAGCTTACTTTGCTACACATACATGGCTTCCATCAATGGACAATAGGCTACATCCACACAACTCCCAACAATGGACAATGGGCCAGATTTGCTATCTCATTTAGCCTTCAGCAATAGGTAAAATGCTACACATTTCTACGTATCTTTATTACACCGGTTCCTAATAATCGACAAAGGGTAAGATCTCTACATATTTTATCTCACTAGCTCCCGAAAATAGACAAAGAGTTAGCACAACTCAGTATGATTAGCGTAAGGTTGGTAACAATTGCAACCCTGTTATTGGACAAGATGCCTGCCTTCCAATGTTAAAAATTCATTAACGACCAGTGATCCCTTGGTGCTCACTCATGCATGGCAGTACAGTGCTCAACTAGAAACAACAACCAGGACCACTTCTAATGGTGCAGGTATGGCAAGAAGGGGTAGTGTTTGTCAATGGTATCACACTTTGTCACATTGGAGGCCATGGATGTGGCTAATGTACCTTTTCCATGGACTCAACTCTATTTATCTTTATCACACATTCATCGCTATGGCGAAGTCTAGCGTGACGAGATTTAGCCTTTCACAACTTGGTGGATTAGTGGGAGTACTCTTTCGATTCCGTCTAATTCATGCTCCAGCCATAGGCAAAGCTAGCTACTGTTGCCCCTTTGGCTATAGGAAAGCTATTCATAGTTGACCCTATGATACTTATATAACATAACTGATGTTCATGCACATCATTATTCTTTTATATAAAGGGACAAAATTACTAGTCATCGGTAATCCCAAATCACAACATATTTCTCTTATTTTCATGTGTTAGTAGGTGTCGCTGACCAAAAATGCTTGGCTCAAGACAACGATATCACAACACACATCCATATTATTCATTCTTTACCTTGGTGCAACATCAGCCATGTACAGCAACATCATACAAGTGCTTGCCATGGCCAGTGGACAAAAGGGCACAACAATGTTTATCCTCATCATTTCCTTTGATATACAAGGGAGTATCCTTCTTCACTAAACATATTTATACATTTCCGAACAAATACTCATTCATATCTTGCTCTTGTTGTAGATAAACACAAGCTCATGAATCCAAGCTCATGGGAATTACTTAAGATAAACTATGGGAGTAATGGCTTGGTAAGCATTGATGGGTGAATGTTGCCCGTTTGGTGAAGTGAGGTATTCGCGCCAGCTAAGCTTGGAGCTAGTGATGTTGCTTGACTTTGCCAAAATTGGATGGCAAAGATGTGGAGGTGGATCTGATCCTCAAAATTGTATCGTTTGATGATAACTAGAAGCTTCAAATCTTGTTAAAAATGAACCAGAGATTTTGTTTTATTCTCCATCAGCAACTTGTAGTTAATGCAAAGGTGGCTATACGAGTTCCACTACATTGAAAACTGTTTTAAAAGATTACATTTTGCTTGGGAAATTTACCAAAATCCTAGGCATATCTTGATTTTGCTGACTATACTCAATTATCCCCTAAAAATGAAATTTCATATGGCTGGAAGAATTACTTAAAATGGGCAATCTCTAGTCCTTCACTAGAACCAATGGTGCTTCGCTAAAACCGTTGGGTAATTCATAATATCATTTCCAAAAAACTGTCAACAACACCCAGAGCCACTCAAAACTGAACAACTCACCCAAATCTACCCATTAAGTTGTTGGGGTACCTCTAATCCATCAACCAAAAATTAAAAAAGTGCCACTGCATATACATATTATTTTTCCTTCATTTTTTAAGAGAACAGATTTCACAACTCCAGCTTCCCTCTCACACACCATGACGCACTAAAATCATTCTAACAAGTGTACTACTCGCTTCAAGTAATATAATGATGAGAAGAGTGTCGAACCCATGAGGATTGTGTCTAATTAAGTACCAAAATAATTAATCCAAATTTATTTGGACAACCAAATGGGAAAAAAGTTTAACTAAAAAAAGAATAAAAGAAAAATAACAATTAAATTAAACCTAACCAAGATATGAGGTACTAAGGCATTGACTTCACCATAATCAATCAATATAAATTATGGATTATCAAATTGTTGAGTGTTATTGCATGTGATGATGGATTTCCCTAAATTAATTAACTAGTTTTCTCAAGTCAAGTTAATCCTTCACTTGTTTGTTAAATTAATCATATCTCTATGTAATTTTAAATAAACTTATGAGCATTAAATTCTATGGAAACCTCTAGTTTAAGAAGGGGGAGCTCCAAACTTTCTTCTCTTCTTCCACTACCACATGTGAGCTAATTACCTCTCGGTCTCACAGTCTAGCACACGGTTTATATTATTATTGGTCTAATCTACGCAATTCTTTCTCAAG